TGGGGGAACGGTTGGACTTGATGATCTTAAAGCTTTTCCAGCTTAGTTGATACTATGATTTTTGGTTGTCATTGTTTCTTACTTTGCAACGTGGCTGAAAAAGAGCTTGTACAGGAGTAGAAGTGTCAGCTTTGCCACTTTTTTCTTAGCTTGTGGTCATATTATTACAGTTAGCTTCAGCTGGGAGAGGAGGGAGCTATTTCTCCTTTGTGAACACGTTAGGGCAAATACTGCAACTGAAAGGCTGCCTCCTTAGATAATGGTAAAGGTTGTAGCTAAATCCTAGCATTCCTCACAGTTAAAAGAAGTAGGGATTGTCTTTCTCACCAGGGAGGCTGGCTTTCAGAGATACCTTTCTCAGTTTAAGTCGTGAGGCAGGGTGATTGGGTCCTCCTCACGTGATAATGAGAAACAATGACTCACTGTTATATTTTGTCTAAGTCAGCACTACATGTGAAACAAATAAAGCCAAGTATAGATAATGACCTAGTGATATTACATCTGCAGAGGCAAAGTGCTAGGAAAGGTTGGTCTCTATGTTGAATTGATATGGTATAGCAAACTGCTAGTATCAATACTGAATAGAAGTTGAAACCAAAAACTACTGCTACAGTAGTTTTTCAGTAAGACTTCATTTTCAGTACTGTGTTGTTTCATTATGGTCACTGCTTAAGTGACATTGCTAAAAAATGCTATAGAAACATTTTACTTTTCCATTTGCTGTGAGGGGAAAGGTAGTTCTTTATTCTTCCCTTTACATAACACTTCTTTCTTTGTCCCAAGCAAGTCTTTGCATATTTTGGTGGCTTTCTTGATTTCTAGAAAAGGTTAGATAGGTCTATGTTTTTACTTTATTGCTCCTGCTTTCTTACAAGTATTATTAAAAAAATAGATAAGGTGCTCCTTTATATCAGAATTTCATGGGTAGTCTGGTAAATTGGTAGTCTAGTCTGATGCTGGTCTAAAACTGTTTCCCATAAGAGATTAATAAAACCAAGAAAAAACCCAGTTGGTCATCAAGTTTCTCTTTCTGTCTGCCTTATAGATACTTACCTTTAGAGGTAATTAAGAAATTGGTCTTACGCTGAAAATTTCCATTCAAATTCTGTTTGAATATGTAATAGTCCTGTTAGGCAGTAGAGGTTTGGATTGTTTTTTTGCGGGGGAGGGTTTGGGGGTTGGTTTTGGGTGGGGTTTTTTTTTGTAGTGTTGAAACAGAAAGGTTTTCTTTTAACTGCTGGCATTTCCAGATAGTGTGGTTGAGGAATGAGTTTTCCTCCTGCTCCCCCAGGTTAAGAAAAAATTTCTGTTAAAGCAGGGGCAGTGGCTTTGATAGAGGGAATGGCTGAACTAAGTTCCTTGTTCTTCATCCTTCTCATGATGACACCTGTGTTCCTGTGTTAGCATAAAATCACTTGGAATTTTCTAGTAGTAAGTTTTTCTTAAAAAAACCCAAAAAAACAAAACAAAACCCCAAAAAACCCAACCAAAAACCAGTATCATAGTTTGAAGTGATGTTTTTTTGTTAAACATTGTGAAAGAAGTCTTATCATCAGAAGTGCTAGACTGAACAAACTTTTTAAGTATGGGAAAATCAAAGCATGCAGAAGTGTCTGATATTTTGATCTCAGCATAAACTTGTTCTCTTTTGGATCTTTAACTGCAGTGACTTAAGTGATAAAAAGAAAAATAACAATATTCTCTCTAATTTTGAAAGTATTTTTCATGATGAAAACAGAGCACTTAATCTGTATCTTTTACTATATGGTGTGTTTTGATTCCCCGTCACTGTTACTTCTAGTTCAAATATTTTAAATTTCCCAGAGGAAAGTCCTTTGTATGGAGCATTGTAGCTATTCGGGATTTACAAGTATTGCATGTAACGGAGTGTTGCTTGGTACAATCTCAACAATCTGCAGTGTTTTCTTTATTGCGTATGTTTATGCAGAACTTACTTATGCATTACCCCATTTCCTACCTCCTTTGCAAACAAGAGCTTTAGATTTCAGGGTTACAGCACTGTCTTTGTAGACGTTATGCTTCTACATTCTGCTGAAGCTCAGGCTGAAACATTGTATGGAAGGACACAGTGAAATAAATACAGATTGGTAGTCCTCAGAGCCTGTCAGTTGCTTGTAGTGTGGCCAGTGAGCAGGAAAGTTCTTCACAATAAAGTGCAAATGAAGACGCATCTGTTAATTTTGCCTGTCTTTTGTGTGCACTGTAGTTGCATTAAGACCTCTTGCAGTATGTGATGCATGTGCGCAGAAACACTAATGTAGTTTCAAACATTTTTATTACTTTGGATGATTAAAGTAAGCTCTGCACAACATGGAGTAGTCTTGTGTGCTTGAACTCCTTTAGTGCTTTTTACTAGTTAATTTCAAACTCTTTTTAAGCACTGCCATAGCATCATAAGATTTTATTTTTATTTTAGCAAGTCCTTCCCTAGTTTTAAAATTACTCCATGCTAGTCAGTTTTTATTTTCCCATTTCCTTGTGCTGACTTAACACTGTGGGATAAGAAAATTTATTAGGACATTATTGATACTATGGCCTTTAAATTTTGTTTTTCTTATTTTCTCTATGTACCAATTAGCTGTTACTCTACAGCAGTGATCCTGCATTGTCCTTTGTATATGGTAGCATTAGGGCAGCTCTAAATCAGTTGTAAGCATTATTATTTATTCTTCCTTCTTGTTTCTTGTAATTTCCTTTCTTTCTTTCCCCATCCCCCTTTACCTGCAGCTAGCTGGTCTCTTCATAACAAAAAAAATTCAAGGCCATCAGATTCACAGTTGATGGGAAATTTTAACTGATGTAATTTTTGCTTCTTTACATAAATAAACTGGAATTTCAACCCCCTACCCACACTTCGGTCTCTCCACCATTCTCTCCTGTAGCTGGTTTAAATTTTTCTCACAATGTTGGCAAGTTTTTTGACCAAGGTGGTTTATTTCAGTGTCAACTACCTTAGAAAATGGGTACTTTGTTTTGGTTGCCTCTGGCTCTACGTGGAATTGAACCTAAGGTTAGCACTACATTGGTGCATATGAAATATTTTACTGCTATATGGAAAGCTAACTTAATTACCATCGTTACGGCTTAGTGTTTTGCATCTCTTTTAAATTTGGTAATCCACATTATTATTGTGCTGTTTGAGCAAGCCTTGTCCTGCATGGAAGTATTTGATTCCCTTCCTCCAGAATTATGTAGGATCACATTTTTGGTGGCTCTTTGTCACTAGGACTTGTATGGCTAGTATTTACTTGTGTCTCAAGGTCTCTCCATGCTGAATTTTCTTCAATTTCTCTTCATTAATAGTTAGTGCTGACTTCCACAGTCCCTCTGATATTCACATATGGCACTTCGCTGTGCTGAAAAATGTGGTTGTTTCATAATGGTCTGATCTACCCAGCATTAAAGGTAACATAACATTTGTGTACGAGAACACTATTACAATTAAAATCTCTTCAGAAGGTCATAATGGTGTGCTGTAAATTTCTTCTAAACAGTTAAAACTCCAGCCACATTCTGTAGAAGGTGCCGTGCTTTATTTGGCAGGTGAGGTTAGTGGTAGAGCACCATGCTGGAAATAAGCCTTTGAAGTCAGGAACAGGAAGTTTGGGAGCAGTTTTCCTTGTGTCCCGGTTTTCCTCTCTGCAGGTGCAAGGAAACCTAGCAGCAGGGTCTGTGTCCGTATCTCCTGCTTCAGAACCAGGGAAGCTTCACTATGGTCTGTCTGTTTTCAAAACTGACAGTTGCAGATGGCTGATTGAGGTGCAGTCTACAGAAGTTTTCTGTGAATAGGTTCATTTTTTTTTCTTTACTGGTATAGTTTTGTTCGTGTTAGCAAAAGCAGAAGGAGGAGCCATTTTGCTTTGTTTTTTGGTTTTAAAATGAATTAAGTATGTTCTACAGCAGAGGACGATCAATCTGTCCTCCCTATAGTCACATCCTACCTCCAGCTGACTGTCAGCCAGGTGAATTGTGCTCACTAAGTTTTGATACCAGCTTTTGGTTTTATCATTTTCAATCTGCTTCATGTTTACTTTGTCTTTGAAGTGTTTGCAGTCAGTGTGTACATAACTTGTAATTATTTTGCTTGGTGGTGGTGTGATTTCAGTGTTTTTTCTCATGATGTCTTTGAAATATGGTAGTATTAATCTCATGAGTAATCTTACTGAAGTTTTAATCTGGCTGCTTGCTGTAGAACTCTACTACTTTAACTCTGCTTGTTGTTTCCTAAGTTTTTTGAATGGTCATAAATATTTATCTTTAATTATTGTGCTTTCTTTGTGTGTTAAATCAGGTGTAAAATGAGTATGTAAGTAGAATAATCTGGCAACTCAAGTATATGCCAAGGAATGTGCCTCAGCACAAGTCTTACCATCAGTGACAAATTCAGAGTTGTCTGTATGGGGAATTTTGCTGCCGTTAATTTAACAGGAAAACAGTCTGCGTGGTTTTGTGGTTTTGGGTTTGGGGAGTTTTTGTGGAGATAATCTGCTTTGAATTTTTTTTAAAAACTGAATGCTGCTTATCTATAAAGATTGAAAACAATCTTATATTTTAGTTGGACAGATCTTTGTGAAATAGAATTAACTACTAAGAGGTGTGTAGGTATATATGAAGTTTGATGGAGCTAAACAAGGATTTTGGAGAGGGTGGGGATGGAAAGTTTGTGTGAGTAAGAAGCATTTCTACCACTTTTATTTCCTGTGCTTGACTCCTCCATATTAATTTGAATGTTCTTGCTTTATCTTATCTTTTTTTAGGCTTCACAAAGAGTATATGATTGCACTCTGATTTCTCATCTTTGATTATTTTTAATTTTATTTATCTCAACTTACTCAATGGACATCAGCATCCATTTGTGTGCTACCCATTTGTCTGGTCTAACTGAACAATTAATTAATATGTGAAGCAAAGGTGACTTTTTTTATTTTAATCCTGTTGCCTTGGCAACTGTGTAAGACCCTACTAACTTCTCATTGCAGCCGATCAGATGACGATTCCGGGTCAGCATCAGGTTCTGGATCTGGTTCAAGCTCAAGCAGTAGTGACGGAAGCAGCAGTCAGTCAGGTAGCAGTGACTCTGACTCTGGTTCAGAGTCAGGCACTGAGTCAGAATCAGAGTCTGACACATCTAGAGAGAAGAAACAAATTCAAGCTAAACCACCAAAAGTTGATGGATCTGAGGTAAACAAAATGTATAATTGAACTCTTTTCTTTGGGGAGAGGGGGCAAGGCGACCTTTAAAAATCTTTCCGTGTAGCTAGTCTCAAGAGCAGTTTTTATTCAGGAAAAAAAAAAAGAGATAACAAAGTGTTTTTTGACTAACTTGGTTGGATTACTGAAAGTGCTTAGCTGTCTTAAACTCTGGTCCAAGTTTCTCCTGGATAAGTACTTGAACTGATACTTTTAAAATTATTTTTAAGTATTTTGAGTTAAATGGTTACCTTAAATTTCATCACACAGAAGCACACAATTTACTGGAACTTACTGAACACAAAGGCACAAATGTTATTTCTGAAATTCTATTTTTTACATTGTTTCTCTAATGCTTAGTTTTCTTGTATCAGTAAATGATTTTTGTAAAAATTCCAAGCTTACATACGATTGGCTTTCTTTATCAGTAAGTTAGCTAAATGCAGGAAAAAGCGGTCTTCTCTTAAATATGGTGGGCCAAAAGTACTTGCATTTTCCTGTTGTATGGACTTGATTGGGTGGTAGACCACATTTATGAAGGGTAATCATATATTAGTTACCACAAGAATTGAAGACTGTTAAGGCTTCTCTGTTATATTTCTATTCATGTACTTTAGAATTATTGTATGAAGAAAAACCTTAACAGCTAAGTGACTTAAAAGGATTTATCTGGGTTAGTTTAAAAATTTAGTTCATAAATGTTTTACTTTAACTACACAATTGTTGTTAAACTGTACTGTTAAACTGCTGTAGAAGTTGTCCTGGCAGTTACTATATAATGATCTGTTCTGCAGAAATCTTTAGTTTAACTTACTATTAGTGCATGCAGTGAAATTTTTTGATCTTTAAAATCCTGGTTGATTGGTCTTAACTTAGTAGAGATGCTACTCAGAAAAAGTAAAAATGTGGAAACTGGAGACTTTCAGAATGTTTAACTGACTCTTGCATCTCCATTCCTGTTCAGTTTTGGAAGTCTAGTCCAAGTATACTTGCAGTGCAGAGATCAACAGTACTCAAGAAGCAACAGCAACAACAAAAGACAGCCTCATCAGACAGTGGTTCAGAAGAGGTAAATAACATAATTTAGAATTTTATAATATATTAAAAATAATATCTCATCATCCCATAAATAAGAATAAAATTAAATAAAGCCCAGTTATATTCTCTTAACTGTGTGTAAAAGTCTGGGTTTAGCCTATAAAAGTAACATTCAAATAACTGATGATTTTATAAGGAAAAGTATAAATATCTCTAGTTACTTGTTTTCAACTTAATTGTGCCAAAATTATAGCAGCCTCGATTATGGGGTATTTTTAGGTAATGTAATGTATGGAGAAAGTTTCAAACCATGCAGACTCATACTGTATTTTTGGCTTCTTGGGTTTTGTAAAGAGAGTTAAAAATGATAGGATTTTTTTTTCAATTTCATTCATATAAAGGTAGGTGCTGTGGTTTTCAAAAATTCCATATAAAGTAAAAACTACGTTTTGACGAATTTTGTAACAAGTTACTACAAAAGAATTGTTGTCTTTTAAGAATGACACCTGTATTCTAGGTATTTCAAAACCTAAATGACAGTCTAAAGAAATGTTGACTTTGTGAAGGAGGAACATCTTTTGAGGACACTAGTGATTATGAAGTGGAATTTACTTATAAAGCAATCTTTTTCTCCTTCATTACAAAAACTATGCAATGTAGTCACACTCATTCAGTTGGATTTCTCTTTTTTTTCTGGTAGCAGTTTATCATTAAAACTTAAACGCAGAACTTAATCACCTATTGTTAAAGCATTAGTTCAGTATTCTCTTTCTGAAAGATGTTTTTCATGATAAAACAATCTAAGTTAAATTGAATCCCAATGAGATTGGTTTTAGAAAAATCTGATTTTAAGAGGGTTTTTGTTTTTTCTTGACCATAGAGAAAGAAGAAACATTCCTGTTTCTTTAACTGGTGTTTAAATGTGAGAGAATACAGAAGGTGAGAAAGCTCTCTAGTAGAGAGAGGGTAGGAGATTTTGTTAGGATTTTGGTAGAACCATCATCTTGATTAAGTTGGGGCAGTGTAAACCATGAGTTTTTTAAGTATGCAGTAACAATGATTATTTTTTAAGACTGGTTTGGTTTTTTTTTTTGGTTTCCCTAGAGCTGTGCTGGCACAATGTATTCACAGATGGATAAATACAAAAACAATAGCAGCCTTTATCTCATTCTGCATTAACAGCTACACTGTGGGGAATGAAGAGGGTAAAACATAAATAATACACCTCCAATGTGAAAATGGGAACTGATTTATTGTTTTAATATGTTAGAAATACTTCATTCTTTTTGTAACAATAAATTGGTGCGGTTTCTTTTACTTCACCTGCAGGACTCATCAAGTAGTGAGAGTTCTGCAGATGATTCATCCAGTGAAACCAAGAAGAGAAAACATAAAGAGTAAGATATTTCATAAGTAATTTTTAATTTTTTGTCATAGTGACATATGCTCGTAATTCATGCTTCATTTCTTCACAATTGAAATGCTTAAGTTCCCTTTCTAATTTTTCTTGATATTGCATTTCCAATTTTGATAAATCCTTTGGAATATTTAAAATAAACTCTAAAGGAATGTCTATATGGTATTTTTGAGCAAACAAGTGCAGTGTTGTTCAAAAACATTCATCAATGCTGTTATTTTTTAAATATTGTTGCAGTTTGGTTCTGAGCTGAAGGCCCTCTAAAAATTCTTGTAGAAATGTGAAACTACTTAAGTAGGTTGTGTCACAACAAATTTAAGTTAGAACCTTAGTTAATGCCAAATTCTTTTTGTCTGTTTTTTTTAGGTGGTTGGTTTTCTTTTTTTTCCTTGGACATGTTTAAAAGTTATCGTAATTCTGATGGTAATTAACTTCATTGACTAGCAAAGAATTTTAACTGAAAATAACCTCATTCTAAATGGTAGATCTAAAAGGATGTGAAAAGGATTATATGTTGTTGTTGTGGCAGTGAGAGGCAGTGACCTGTGTTTTTTATGAATGATGCATAGAAATTTAAGTGCTCTATCATTCCTTTTCTCCCAGTTCATGAATCCCCTCATTATTCAGGGTTGCCAGTATATAGAACTTGTAGTACTGATAAAGATGTATCTTTCCAGTTAAACTTGTTAAGTGTTTTGGTTTCTTAGTGTCATGTTAACTCATTTCTTCACGCTGAAATTTATATAGAGGTCCAGATTTTTTTCTTTTGGATTTTAAATGTACCTCTTGGTAATAGAAAACTTAGTCCAACTCCCTTTGAAGCCATTGGGTAATTTTACCTACCCGTTATTCATTGATGACAATTTATTCAGTGACGGCAATTTTCTGTCTTATCAGCTGGAATAACTGTTACAAGATTTTTATTTCTGTGAAGACTGTTGAAATTACAGCAGATACCCTGTGGATGAATCCCTGATATAAAAAAAAGTTACTTTTTTGTCTTTCAATATGTACAGTGAAGACTGGCAGATGTCAGGATCAGGGTCAGTATCAGGAACTGGTTCTGATTCTGAATCAGAAGAAGATAGAGAGAAAAGCAGTTGTGAAGAGAGTGAATCTGACTATGAGCCAAAAAACAAGGTTAAAAGCCGGAAGCCTCCAAGCAGGTAAAAAGTCATTTGTTTAGATACTTTGGTACTATTTCTGTTAAGCAGTTGAATTATATACTGCTACTGTATATTCAAATAAAGACATTAATGTTTATTAAAAAAGAGGAGTGTTTTCAAAAGCATTGTTAACATACTGCTTTCTAGGGAATTCCTTTTCTTGTCTGCTGTAACTGAAAGTGTAGTAACTTAGCATTCATTAACTTTGTATTCAGAGTGCAATACAGAGGATTTGTAGTTGTCCCTGTTGTGTCTTTATCTTCAAGAATTAAGCCAAAAAGTGGGAAGAAGAGTACAGGACCAAAAAAGAGGCAACTTGATTCATCGGAGGATGAAGAGGAGGAAGAGGATGATGATGATGATTACGATAAGAGAGGATCTCGTCGCCAGGCAACAGTCAACATAAGTTACAAAGAAGCTGAAGAAACCAAGACAGATTCTGATGATTTACTGGAAGTTTGTGGAGAAGATGTCCCACAGACTGAAGAAGATGAATTTGAAACTATAGAAAAATTCATGGATAGTCGAGTTGGACGAAAAGGAGGTTATTTTCGTATTGTTTTCTTTTGTTGGTGTCCTTAAGATCCTGGAGTGCACTGTGGTGCAACTTCAGCAGATGGTCTCAGCTGTAGGTCATCTGTGAAATTTATAAACAGCAATAATTTTAAAGTTACCAAAAAGTCATCTTGTTTTGTCTCATATTCATAAGGATATTCCTTTTTAAAGTTCCTGCTAGGTGTTGCAAAGTAAAATGTAGAATTTTCTACCTAAGTAGAAAACAAAAATGAAGTGGAATATAGCTCCATATAGCATAAATGCATACCATACTGTTACGCTACTGTTTTTACAGTTTAGTGATACTTGATCAGTATAAATTATATACAGTAGAGTGGAGAAAAACCAAGAACTGACTAATAACCTGAATCTTGAGAGATGGTGTTGGTAAGGCTGAACCACTGAGCTTATGATTTCAGTTACTGCTGTACAGATTGTCTTAATACAGTGCAATGTGTGGAATGACTACAAAATGCATCTAAAATTTCAGAGGCACACTTGCATATGAACTCTTAAAAGTATTTTGTGAACAGTGGTAGGCATGTCATATTTCCAGTAGTAATGAGATGCCGTGTCTAGCAATTCTATGTAAGCATTCTGAGTCTGCAAATTAGGATTCTAGTTATAAAAACAAATAAAACCCCAGCACCCAAACCCTGGGGCCCTTGCGCTTCAGAGCTGCCTTTCTCTATTAGTTATACTCAGTCTCTAAAGTTTCTGACATATCTCAGAACTTGCACTCTTATTCCTCTCAGTTTTCTTCTCCCATCCTGTCCTGAACTGTAGTGTGTCCTGAACTGTAGTGTGTCCTGCTCCAGTGCACAGTGTTATTGCTGTGGTCAGAGACTTTGGAGCTAAGCTGCTTATATTCTTCCTGCCCAGATGACGTTGCTGTTTGTGCTGTCTTTTGTTGTTGCCACTCTCTGTGGCTTTATCTGGCCCCTGCAGCTTGCTGGGCTCATTTCCTTACCTGTCTGTCCTTGCAAAATAAGCCTGTTTGCTGCTCCTGGTATGAGTCAGCTGTGATATAGACTGTACTTAATTACAAATTTTCCCAGGTAAGATAAGAAAGGCAGGCAAAGTAGACATGTTTAGGAAGAAACAGGTTTATAGTATCCCCTAGTAGTACGTTACTGGAGTCTCAAGACTGACAAAGTATGATGTCAGATATCTTTTCTATGCTCAGAGATCAGCCTAATACAACAGAATATGTCAAGCAGCATTAGTAAGGTGTTCCCTGGTGATGACTGTAAAGACTGAGAATGCAAAGAAAATTCTGATGAGTAAAGTAAAGATACTGTAGGTTAAGTGCAGAAATTTTATTTGCTCTTTTGATTCTATTTTGAGTACTTGTCCGTCTGTTTACATATCCACATTATAATTGTTCAGATAAGAGTAATGACATGAGAGCTGTAGGTACGAGTCAACTATATGCTCATCTAGAAGTATCACTAACTGCTTTCTACACTAGATTTCTTACTGGTTAAGTTATCAGAATGCACACTTAATTAAATCTTATGATGTTTCTTTCTTAGCCACAGGTGCTGCAACCACCATCTATGCAATTGAGGCAGATGGTGACCCAAATGCTGGGTTTGAAAAGTCAAAAGAGCCAGGAGAAATACAGTATCTTATTAAATGGAAAGGTTGGTCACACATCCATAACACTTGGGAAACTGAGGAAACACTGAAGCAACAAAATGTTAAAGGAATGAAGAAACTGGACAACTATAAAAAAAAGGATCAGGAAACAAAACGATGGTGAATATTTTTATATAGGCTTCCTCAATATTTCTTTTGTAACAATGTAGATGTTCTGTTGTGTTTCCGAGACCTCTTCCCTCTTTTTGAGGGAATAATTTCAAGTGTCTATGCAATAGAAAGACAAAAACTTTAAAAGTTGAAGCCTTCTTAATATGTTACTGTAAGATAATCCCCTGAATCTGATTTTAGTGTGTATGTGTTATAAATGGAGTTTTAACAAGATGGGTAGTGTTTAAAAAATAATAAGAAATTGTACCTTTTACTAATTTTGTCGTTATACTTTGATCAGAGTTCTTCAGGAACTTGGTACATTAGCTGTTTCAGACTACTTTGAAGAATTGCGTTTTCTTGGTTCAAATCTGAGGTTCAAGCCTAGGAACAAAAATCTGAAGAAATCCATGTACATTTTAAAGTCGCCTTTTTGGTGTTGAGTTTTATTAGTATTTTTAATATAATCAGAAACTACTGGTGGGATTTTTAGAAACTTAATCAAAAGATGGATTCACACAGAATTGAGTCACAGTGAACACTGGTCCATTAAAATACCCTGTAAAGTACTATACTGATTGTTGAGAATAGATGTTCTGAATTAACTGTGTGATCGGTAACACTTGTAGCTATAGTAGTTGTGTATCTCAATAAGCATACTTGGTCATTAATGATGACCTAGGCCAGATGCAACAGTTTTGTAGTTGGAATTTCTAAGTTGTCCCTTCAAAGAATCTTTCTAAGCAACATTCCTATGATGCTTATATTCAGAGCTTTAGAGCTGCCAAATTTTCTTAGTTTTAGAACTGTATGGTATAGTAAGCTTGACAAATTAATTCCCATTACAGGCTGAAAAATGCTTCTCCGGAAGATGTGGAATATTACAACTGCCAGCAGGAGCTTACAGATGATCTACATAAACAATATCAGATAGTGGAAAGAATAATTGGTATGTTACAAACTTGTGGACAGAAAACTGTTGAGAATATTCTGTATGTTCACTTGCTTGTATATTGTACTTGTAATTAAGAAATTTTGTATGAGTATCGCTCACTTCTTAATCCACAACAAAACTTCAGGTAAAGAGAAAAGTTGCCATACTGTCTGTGCTATGGAGCTAGCTTATATTGTCTTATTTCCTAAAATGAGTGTTTTCATAAGATAAAGAAGTAAAATGCTGATCAGATTGCTCTAATGCATTTCTGCAGCTCATTCAAATCAGAAATCAGCGGCTGGTTATCCAGACTACTATTGTAAATGGCAGGGTCTGCCCTATTCGGAATGTAGCTGGGAAGATGGTGCTCTCATTGCCAAAAAGTTTCAGGCACGCATTGATGAGTACTTTAGCAGAAATCAGTCCAAGACAACTCCCTTTAAGGATTGCAAGGTATGTAATTTTCAGTGGTTTTATAATCAGTTGTACTGGGTCTTGCTGGGATGGACTTAATTGTCTTCATAGTAGCTTGTATGGCCTATGTTTCAGATTTGTGACCTAAACAGTGTTGATAACACAATCAGTATTTTGGCTATTGCTGACCAGAGCGCTGACTCCAACTGGCCAAAATGATATTGTGCCATTTAACGTGATGATAAAACCGGGTGGGCTGGACAGGGGTTCAAAGGTGGCTGATTTTTGGAGACTTGCTGCTCGTCAGTCTGCTGGTGTGTTAATATGTGTCTCCCATTCTGTCACTTGTGGATTTTTTTCTCAGTTGTGGGTTTTTGTGGTTTTTCCCCCTTCACCAAGTAAACTCTTTATTTTGACCCACAAGTTTTTCTTATTTTTGCCCTTTCAGTTCTCTCCCTGGTCCCACTAGGGTGGAGAGGGAGTAAGCAGCTGGGTGGTGGCTTAGCTGCCAGCCAGGTTCAAACCACCACACCAATTGTGATTAGTAAATATGTGAAGACGTTCTATGAATCCAGAGATAAGATACATACTATGAAATATTTTTGAAGGTTTTTCAGAATAGTAATAATATATAGTAATGTATATGGAAAATACCACTACTAAGTGTAGTTTTTTGTAGGTGCAAGTCCCCTGCGTTTTTACTGGCGTTCAAAGATGTGCTTGTTTAGTATTGCAGTTTATTTTAAAAGTAAATTTTGAGTGAGTTAATATGATTCCCATTGTGAAATTTAGATTAGCAGTCAAACTAATTTCAACTTGCAGATTGTGTTTTTAGACAGCCTAGTTTTTATTGATGGATGAAGACTAGATTTGGTGACCCAGTAGATCCCTACTGCTATTTTTTTCCTGTAGGAAGACATTTTGGCAACTTCAGTCAGTAGCAGGACTGATGATCAGTTTGCTTTTGACAGGTACTAAAACAGAGGCCAAGGTTTGTTGCACTGAAGAAGCAACCATCATACATTGGGGGACATGAAAGTTTGGAGTTAAGAGATTATCAGTTAAATGGATTGAATTGGCTTGCTCACTCATGGTGCAAGTAAGTGTAGTTTGAAATGAGTTTTTCTGTTTGTAAATTGTAAGCATTTGTAAAACTTTTAAATTGATTTTCTGTTTTGGTTTTATTTGAAGTTGAAGGGTTTTGTATAGTAAAAGCTCAAACCAGCCTAAACCAGTAATACCAGAAAACCTAAAGCAGCTGTTCTGAAATGTCGACATTAGCATTATACGTTTAAAATTAGACTCATAAGGAGTGTTTCCAAAATTTTTGTTAACTTTTTTAATAGAATTCAAATATTAAGGGGGAATGGAAATTGGTTTTATGGGAAAACAGTGGAAATAAACTTCAAGATGTATAGTTGGAAAATCTTACACTTGTATGAGTGGGTTTTATGCTGAAAAGGTAATAATTTCTTCTTGTCCAATTCCTTCCCTTCTCTATACCACTTCCCTCCTACCCCCCAAATTTTTTTTTTTTTTTTTTTTAATTTTTTTTTTAGGGGGAATAGCTGTATTCTTGCAGATGAAATGGGTCTGGGTAAAACAATACAAACAATTTCTTTTCTGAACTACCTGTTCCATGAACATCAATTGTATGGGCCTTTCCTGCTTGTCGTGCCACTTTCTACCTTGACATCTTGGCAAAGAGAGATTCAAACTTGGGCTCCTCAGATGAATGCTGTAGTTTATTTAGGAGATATAACTAGCAGAAATATGGTGAGTATTTCTCTTTATCATTGGAAAGGCTTGTAGATAAACAAGACTCACTTCATATTCCCGTCCTGTTCTAATCTCAGTATTTTGGTTAGGACTGAGCCAATACTTACTGAAACAGTGTGTGTTTAAGATGCTAATTGAAAACTTAGATTTTGATCTGATATAAATGTGTGTGTGAAAGGTTTCCTTCCTTCTTAGTGGTGAACAGGATTAAAAAGTTTTGTCTTGCATTTGAAAACAAATTATTTTCTGCCACATGATTATTTACATGGCTGTAGTAAAAAAAAATATGTAAGCAAGCCAGTCATGATCTTAATTTATTTTCTTGAGATGCGGTTGATATATTTTCTTTAATGTGTTTTCTGAATGTTACTATTCTCATCCATTAAAGTAAAAAGTGTTTTGTAGAAATTCTTTGGTATTTATTCTGAAGTTTAAACAAAATATTTTTTGAGTACATAGGTTGGAAGTTCAGGCTTGTGTGTGTTAATATGTTGTGCTTCTTTTTCATGATCATTATTGTATGGCATTACACATTTAGTGCGAGGTGTCCCTGCTCATGGCAGGGGGGTTGGAACTAGATGATCTTAAGGTCCTTTCCAACCCAAACCATTCTATGATTGTATGATTTAGGTTGCTGAGTACTTAAACTCATCCTAGTCAATAGACCTTTTTTCTCTAGCTTGTAATTCACTTGATTTTTTTCTTGTGTGTGTGTGTAGATAAGAACTCATGAATGGATGCATCCACAGACCAAACGATTAAAATTTAACATACTTCTAACAACGTATGAAATCTTGCTTAAGGATAAGGTAATCACATTTCTTCAGGGAGATAAAAATAGTTTCTCCATTGTAGATCTCTCTTTAGACTTACATGTATTTGGTTTGTGGGCCATTGCATTTATGGACACTGTGGTAGCTTTGCTTTTTGGACTATGACAGTGCATGGCTGGAGTTTTGGGGTTTTTTTGTGTGCATGGTTTGTTGGCGCGGGAGGGCTTAAGCACTTCTTGATTTTCTGTATGCGTGGTGAGGCTTTCAGCCTTTTTCCATTTTGTTAAGTGGGTAACACTTCTTCTTCTTTAGTTTGCTTGGGATTCACATTGTGTAATAATCTCCTCCCATCTTCAATAGCTCTACTTTGCAGACTACCATCAAGGAGCTGAAAAAGAACCTAACCCCAAACGTGATACTGAACTCTGAAATTCTGTGTTTTTCCTTTGTTATTGTGCATAATATTGTATTAATACTATCTCCATAGTGATAGTACACAGAGTTGCTGTTAATCCTTCTAACAGTATATAGAGATTTTTATAGTTAGTCAAGAAGCAGAACATTTTTACTTCATTTGTTTATACATGCTGGGAAGAAGAGGTCAATAGTGATTTTTTTTCTGTCATGTAAAAATCAGTGTGGGTCAGACTTCTGGCTATTTTCTTCCTTTTAAACCTAAATTTAATTGTGCAATGTGTGTGTTTGTATAACATTTCCCCCCTCATCCATTCTTTTAAAGTCATTCCTTGGTGGTCTGAATTGGGCGTTCATAGGAGTTGACGAAGCGCATCGTTTAAAAAATGACGACTCTCTTCTGTACAAGACTTTAATAGACTTTAAGTCTAACCATCGTCTTCTTATTACTGGAACTCCTTTGCAAAACTCCCTGAAAGAGCTTTGGTCTTTGTTACACTTCATCATGCCAGAAAAGTAAGAAAGAGTTTTACATGATTCTTTTTAACATTTTTTGGCCAAGGTTGTTATTGTGAAATAGTGTAGTGGTTTAAGAATTGATAGAGTTAGAGAATCATACTGAAAGATAATTTAAATATTTTATATCAAAGTAGACATATATTTTTTCATGAAGTAACACTGGTAGCAGTTGTCACCTTTTTCCATTTTACCAATCCACAAATATCAATGTATCAATGATCAATGTATGGGTGAAAACCTGTTAAAAAGGCTTGATCTTGGCCTAAGAGGAAAGCAATATGGGGAAATTTACACTGGGGAAATAAAATGGAATCTTTTCTGTGTTAGTACTGCTAATGAAAACAGACTTGTACGAAGATTTGCAATACCTTGTAGTTCAGTTACATAGCTGGTTTTCCCATATGGTTTGCATACAGTAAGCTTACTGTGTTGACCTTATTTTGTACTGACTCCTTTATACCTAAGATAAATTATAGCTCATGTGTGAAAGCACATTCATGTGTTCCTGTCAGGCATACTGTAAATGCTGAGGATCATAGCTGTATTCAGTTTGACCTGTGGATTGTACTGACTTCTTCAGAACCTTACAGGCAGAGTCAGTATGGTCGAGTACCCATTCTTCATTTGTTGGTAAAGTCTGTTCTCCTAGTCTGTTAGCATAGAGGATAGTTATGCTTCAGCTAGACAACAGAAACTGCAAACTGTACGTTAAGTAGTCTCTTGTTCTTTTGCACACCCTCCAGCTATGCAGCTGGGTTTTTTATGCTTCTCTTGATAAATGTATAATAATGGAATTTCTGCAACCATCTAGGAAAGTATCGTTGCACAAAACCAGAAATGTTGCATTTCCACTGGGGAAGTTAAAATTTAATTCTGTAAATGTTTTTTGAAAATTCCTTTCTCTGTTTATAGGCGAAAGTATTTGGAATTTCTTGTTGGATTAAAATTCAGAAATTGGATAAATTAAACAGAAGGGAAGAAATCCATACGTGTGTGCACACTCTTATGTTGTGTTTATACACATTCTCTGTTAGTGTTGTCCTTCTTCTTGAATTTTGCTTCTTCAGGTCATTCACAGCATGTCACTATTTTGTGTTCATTCTTTATTATGTTGAAGGTTTTCCTCATGGGAAGATTTTGAAGAGGAGCATGGCAAAGGGAGAGAGTATGGTTATGCAAGTCTTCATAAAGAACTTGAACCATTTCTGCTGAGAAGAGTTAAAAAAGATGTAGAAAAGTCTTTACCTGCTAAAGTTGAGCAAATTCTGAGGATGGAAATGAGTGCATTGCAGAAGCAATATTACAAGTAACAACACTTTTTAAGTTGAGCTCTTTCAGTGATATATCTACAAGCAATTTACTGAAATATAATAGTTTTTATAATGCAGTTTGAACTTGAGGCTTCTAGGCTTTCACAGCAGTAAAATTCTTGAAGCAAGGGCTCAAGAATTACACTGGTCTAATGTCATGTAGTTTTTGTTTGGCATGGTTGTACAGTTTTGGGGGATCTGCTCTTTTTCTTTGGCTTGTTTATATTTTGAGAGCTTACACCTGTCTTGCTTCCACATATGGTTAGAAATGACTTACACTGTGCATCTTATACTATAGGTGGATTTTAACCAGGAATTATAAAGCCCTCAGTAAAGGTTCAAAAGGCAGTACATCTGGCTTTTTGAACATCATGATGGAACTCAAGAAGTGCTGTAACCATTGCTACCTCATTAAACCACCAGATGATAATGAATTCTATAATAAACAGGAGGCTTTACAGGTAATGACACTTTTTAATGTGTTATTTGTATATATATATCCAAAAGTTCTTTTTTACATCTGTAATATTGACACAATTTTATAGTGCTCTGGAAGTTCATTTATTCTAAGTGAAGTATATTAAGAAAAGACAGGTTCTCTGGAAAACATGCATCCAGTATTTTACAGGTAAGTGAATTGATTCATGTTTCTTAATTAGAAATGAGTAACTGACACATAATAGACTAAATATTCCCAATTTTAATTACAATCAAAGTAAAAAGGAAATAGTTTGAAACAGGCTGTGTCTTTTCATGCAAAATAAACCTATGTAAGTAAAATAAAACAGCTAAGCGGGTAAATGTAATGTGAGTGGAAATGCATGTGAGTGGCAGTGCTATACCAGCAACCTATGTGATAGCAGGAAGTGAGCTACCGAATACTTTGAAGCTTTTCTTGTAGTCAAATACTGTTTTCTGTATGCCTGCAAACAACCAAAGTGAAAGGAAATGATAGTCATGAACATCCAAAGCTCCAGCTGATTTTGCTGCTGTTGCTGTAACAGATAAAACCAGTTACCATCACTACCAAAGATGGTGTGCTGTTTCTTCTCTTTTTTAAGGTTAATACTTGTACCAAAACAGCTGAGAAGCACAGCAACAAATAAAAGACTGTTGTTACTGATGCGTACCAACATAAATATTTCTAAAGATTTTTTTTTCCTGTAATTTTTCAAGTTGGTAATTTAAAAACCTTTCCAAAAGCTACTTGTTTGTGCAGTGACAAATATTCTCCTACTTTCTGGCATGAAGAATAAAAGCACCTAACTCTAAATTGAGCATTCCCAAAATACTGTCCCAAGTGTCTTCACGTAACAAGGCCTAACATTTTTAACATAAAATTTCACATTTGCTTGAGTTTCTGTTCTGAGAAGGCTTAACAAGCTTTAGGTGGGTTACAGCATTAGGCACCATGAATAAGATTCTTCTCACTTTATCTTGTGATAAAGAGAAACTTGATTGGTAGTCTTTGTTTAAAATACTTAGAGAAAGTAGTACTAAGTGAAGAGAAAGCAGTACTAAGATAGTTTTTTCTCAGTTTTACATTTCACTGGTTCCCAAATTCATTTTTTACTTGGCAGAAAAGAACTTGGGCCTACATAGAGTTATAGAATACTTAGGGTTGGAAAGGACCTTA